GAAGGCTGTGCTCACCTTAAAAATAAAAAGCCAGAAGACACAGCAGCAATCAACTCTATAAGGATTTTACTAGTAAAGAGTGTCTCACCTCCAGCAGGGTAAGGGCAGCACATGAGGCATCCAGGTAATTCTAATCCAACATCTACCTACCAGGAACATTGCAGGGGCTGTCCCTCCAGTTTAAACAGAACTAGGGCCAGATTTCTCTTTACAAGCCTCAGAGATACTTGCCTAATGCAATAGTTTGGTTCTTGACTCTTAGTTTGGTTTCCAAAAGTATGGAAAGCTGAAGAGCTTAAAAACCCCCACAACCAAACACCGAAACAAACCTCCTTCCTGTTCCTTCCTTTCCAGGTCAGTGTCATTGCCCTCTTCCCCCCCAAGGACAATTAAATTGGGATGGGCACTGTGCAAGCCAGCACTTCCAACTCTCAGATGCCATCATCTGGGAAGAAATGCTACACTTTCCATTCCATTACTGTTGAATAGGCAAAGTATAGAGGTAGACTCCTCTGCAGAAGCATGCCTTCAAAATAAAGAAAAGGTCTACAATCACAGTGGTGCTCCAGTTTATCTAAATGCAAAAGGTGCAGACATACACAACTGATTTTCAAGTGTCTCAACCAATGCAATCATTTATTCCAATGGAGAAAGATACTTTTTTAAACTCCAGCAATCAGAGCCTGAAAACTGAAGGTGAAATCTCAGCCCTAATAGAGCCAGCAGAAGTTTTTTCCCCAGTGACTGATGGGGCCAGATTTCCTATGCAGCACAGAGGGAACACACTTTAGTTTGAAACACATTGGACGCTTCACATGTATTACTTAACACTTAAAAATACACACTTCCCTATTAGAACCATGACCTAATAATTATTCAGTGGAGGTCTCTGGTGGAAATAGGTGCCAGGCACGTGTTTCATTGGTCAGCTGGATTTGTTGACCATTGCATCAAGTTCTAGTCTCCAATACACTTGTGCAGTGTCATCCAGTTAGGGCTTAAAGTGACACCAACACCGTTAAGTTACATAATTATAATTAATGATGTCTTTACAAGAGATTATGACCAGGTCAGGTATTCCAGAAAGCAGTATTTTACATTAACACGGGACAACATAAGCCAGGTACTTATTCCTTTTACAGTTGTCTCAATCTCTCTATAGTTGTTCCAACTTCTGATAATACAACTTTGGTGTGGTAAGAGCTCTGACGCTATTCTTAGACCGTGGCAGAAAGCATGAAGTGGTTTGCTGGCAGGTCTTACGCTCCCTGCTGTAATGAGAGCAAGTCACTTCATTTATTTCCCTGTTAGATGAGCTATGAGAAGACTGAAAGCAAGAGCATAAATAAGCTCCCGAGACCAGGAACAGAGAAGCAACCAGTTGTTATCACCACCAGCCGGTTGCTCCCTACCCCCCTGCAGCAGTCCAGTCATTGGTTCAAAGCACATGGCAGGGGGGAAATGGATTATTTGCCTAATTGCAATTTGCACCTCTGCTTTTGAATTTGCTGTTTCCCCGCAGCCAAACACAGACGCCTTTAAAAACTAACCACAAGACTTCAGCAGGTTCACAAGGCTCCTGCTGCTGGGGCTGGAAGGCAGAGGAGGAAGGGCAGGATGAAGACAATACCAACAGACACTGGCCAGGGAGACAAAGGCAAATCCTCTTGTGCTAAAGGCTATTGAAATGCATGGGCACAGATGCTTCAGTTTTTCATTTTTGTTTCATTTGCAGATTCTATTTAACTTGGAAAACAGAGATGTTCAACTCCAAACCTACGCATCTCATTCTAGGAAAAATACTACTTTTCATCTGAATGCAAATGAATTTCCCACTTCCTACTTTTAAATCCAGTGGCAAACTCAAGCACACAAACCCCCAAGGCTCCAGGTCACTTTTGCTATAGGCTGTGGTGCTCAGGGAGGGCAGAGATGCCTCACCATTGGGTTTGCAGGAAGGAAAGGGACACAGCCCCTCCAAGGAGAGCCAGGGCTGCCCTGCCATGCTCTGCCTCCCCAGATTCAGCAACAGCTTTGCTACTGGCTTCAGGCAGAAGGGATGATGGGTTCACATCAGCAGTTTTTTCTCCTCTCCTTACCTAAAAAAGAAGAAAAAGCACCACAAAAAGGGAGGCCTTTAAATTCCATACAATACCATGGTCTTGTATGAAGGTGTGTGGGTATGGGGGAAAACCTAACTTCTTCCAGTTTTGTATACAAACAGGCTGAGGAGCAGCAGCTCCAGCCTTGACAGCTTAGCCTGCTGCAGCCCATTTAGCAACACTGTGAAATAGACATTTGTTTCTTTGTTTTTTTTAATAGGGGTTTATGCCCATCTCAAGTGCTATTGGTTGTGAACAAAGAAACGAGCAAATCTTTGCTTCTATGGAGCTGAAATCGTAATTATGCAAACGTTTTATTTACGACAAAAAAAGCACTCCATGTTAAAGGAAACAGCAGAGACACACAGGACAGAAGGGAGGAACACAGGTCTTAAAATACCCCCAATAGCACAACATATGTAAAACCCCAACGCTCTCTTGTCACAGCACTAGTTTATATATTGGTCTACTACATTAAAAATAAATCAGGCCACCTCTTTTTAACTTGAGCCTAATAAGGTGCCCCATACATACATTTATCTATAGATCACAGCCTGGCCTTTGGAAGCAGCGCAGGGTTTCTCTGCTGCTTAAAAAGACCCAGGCACCCAAACCCAAAATGCACATGGGGCCACGTTGCTCCCCCCCGCACGCTGTAACTCAACCCTTGGCTTCGCCGATCGGATTCACCCCAAACGGCAACGGGGCTGACAGGCAGCACCAAACATGGAGAAGGTGGCACCGGATCAGGGGGACATAAACTTGGACAGGCAGGCTAGCAACCAGTGTTTGCAAACACAACACAGGGAGGGGATCAGATGGGCTGGCAATAAATTAGGACCAGATTGCAGCGAGTGAGAGAAAGCGCTGGAAATAAGAGACGGAGGCAAAGAGGGCTTCCCAGCTACCCCCGGCTTCATTTCGGAGCCTGGACACAGCCATGTGCTGAAGCATGATGGAAAAATCCCTGACAAGTGAAACTAAACAACGAGCGCTTCCAGCACTGCTCCTCTGCTTGGAAACTTCACCACAGCCTTCCTAAGTGCTGCTCTGTATTGCACTCAACTCCATCCGACCCAGAGTGAGCCCCGCTCCAAAAGAGGGGAGGGGAGTTAAGGCAATGGGGATGCTCCTCACTCCACACGGGAGGTCTGCTCTGGCCCAGCTGAACACTACATCCAAAAAGCAAAGGATTTGGGCTTCCTCTGTATTCTACCATGTGTCCGTATGTGTCAGCAGAACAGTTTGCGTAGGGGATATCTGCTAAGCAGGTCTTTCAGGCAGATGCTAACATTTCTCAGGGTTGAAAACCAAAAATGGTCCAAGCAATCCCACAAGCACTCAGTTAAACCCAGTGTTGGAAGGTGGGAGAAGGTGCTGCCCACAACCTGCCCATGGGCCCAACAGCTTGGTGCTGCCCAACTACAGCTTTGCAGCTCAATCTCAGCCAGGATCTTACTTCAGGCACTGAAAAACCACCAGTTTGAGGTCTACACGAGTTCCAGTGTATTCAGAGAAACACAGAGGAAAAACACCTTCAGCACCCCGCTCGTCTAAGGGTAGGAAGGCTTGCAGACTACAACCATACACCTAGTTGCAAAGGCTGTACAACAGAATGATTACCACCAGAAATGCATGACTTCAGCAGTAACCTCACTCTGCAAAGCACGTCCTCTCCCTCTTTTATGGATGAAGGGCACCATCATGACCCAAGACACTCAATAAAAGCAGGCTAGGAACCTGCAGCAAGTATCAAAGCAAGCCCAGCATGACCATACACTTGCTGGGAGCAAAGAGCGAGCTCAGTGCAATTTTAAGCTTCCACAAGGTACGCACACAGAGGAGTACCTCACAGGACCCTTGGCGCCTATAAAGCTATGAGGAAAGGGGATGAACTATCAGCCTGATCCACGGTGTGAAGGCTGGAACAGAAAAACTGAGTGAATTAAACAAACACAGTACAAGCTAATCAACAAATCACAGAATCATAGATCGGTTTGCATTGGACAGGACCTTAAACCTTCAATAGTTTCTCAGTGCCACAGCCAGTCTCTGCCAACCATGCATGCCTCTGAATGGCATAAACACCCAGGGGAACGGAGATTCAATCTAGAGGGCAGCATTGTTATAAATAGGAGCTACAGAATAAAGTGAAAAAAGAGAAGTGTCCTTGGATGCTGCCTTAATGGGCTTGTTTCCCCCAAAGCACTAAGGGATAGACCAAACACCACATTAAAACAGGAGCCTTCACAGAAAAACCATATAGGCGTACATACATGTAAACACAATGCTTTCAGATCACTTTTTAGATGAATTATCTCTCTTTGTCCATTATTCTGACCCCATACCACCAGAACAAGGCTTGAGTGCTCCTCAAGTTTTGCTGACTGGTCCATGATGCAATGCCTCAGACCAAGTGGCCTCCTGACTCTTTCCTCCTCCCTTCTACTCTCACACTGTCCATCTCCAGCACCTATGCGTCCAGTTTTATATGGACTAAAATAAGGCTGCTAAGTAAAGGTCAGTCTGACAAGCTAAAAGAGAAGTATACCCTCCTGGACCTCTGCCCCTTAGGCTATAAATACTCGGAGCAAGCGGGGGGGGGGAATTCTTTGTCTGCACAGACAGACACCAGGAAGCACATTTCCTTCTCCTTCCAGTTCCCACCCCCTCTGCTACTCAAGGACAACAGTCAGAGAAAAGCAAGCATCTCCCGCTACTGGGTCCATGATTTATCCATGGAAAGCATTTGCTTTGCCATTGGTGACTTGAGGCATGCAGGCCTTCCTAAAGGTAAACACAAGCTTTCCAAAGTACAACCATCAGCAAGGTTGACACCAGAGGACATGCACTGCAAAGGGAACCATGAGACTACGTGTGGGCAAAGAGGAGGATTACCTTTTAGGACTAGGGGTTCCTTGCCTTCTCGCTTGAGTGACTCCAGCACTATGTGGAGTGGCTGTGAAGGCATTACTCTGCTTGGCTCATTGGTATTCTCGTCATAAACTATGATTTCTTTGGAAAAGATCCTCTTGAAGGAGTCCTTGCCTTCCCGACAGGAGATCAAGTCCAAGACAGTGATCTTGCCCTGCTGAAGCCTTCTCCGGCTGATCTTGTCCGAACAGTTAATGTGGACAGCCCCCTGAATGTGGCTCTTATTATACTCCATGAACGGCCTGCAGTCAATGATGACAGGCCCTTGGTTCTGTTGGTGGCTCTTGCTGCATTTGGTCATCTTCTTCGCCAGGTCGTTGGGGTAAATGATTTTGATGCTAGCGAGTTGCTTGGTGGAGCCTGAGACCGGGCTCCCCACGCTGCCCAGCGGGCTCAAGCTGCCGGTGTTCTCATTGCTGTTGACCATTTGGTTGGCAGGGCAGGCGGTGGAGGCTGCGGCGCTGCTGGTGCTCGCTTGAGTTTGGGCCTGAGTGTCCTTGTCGTACGTTGCCACAGTGCAGCAACTGGCACTGCTGCATCCACAACTCAGGGAGCGTGCAGAGCCGTTAGATGAGGGCATATACGTGAGATTAGCAGTCTTTAGGGACACGACAGCTGTGCCGAGCAGACTGGAGTGGCTCTCACCAGCAGAAGAGGCAGATTCAAGATAGCTAGAGTCTAAACAAAGGTTGAGATCCTGAGGTCTCACTGGCCTCGAAAGTGCCACTACTACCCTGTCGTCTAAAGGAGATGGAGGCATGAGGAGGCTGAGCACTAGCAAGTTAAGAAGAACTCAAGATCACCCTGCAAAAGACAAAAGGGAGGGGAAATGGGAAGAAGAAAAAGGTGATGAAAACAGATCATGAAATCGTATACGCCCACAAATACAGCAACTTACTTTACCAACACCCCTTATGGGCAGGTAACAACCTAACCCCTCTGACAGTTACCAGCTCACAGTAGCTGCTAAAACCCCTTTTCCAATCCTGAAGCAAATACTCGAGCTATCTGCACGCGTGCACATGGCATGCAGAATACACGCGCCTAGCCTGGGCTGTGCAGCTACACCCAGGAGGAGGCATTTGTCTACATGCAGATGGTGCTGAGCTATTCTGAAATCCCGGGCTGCAAGCAAGGCATGCAACTGATAATGACAGAGAGGCACGTTCTCTTGTTCCCCTGCTTACTGCAAGGGAAGCAACCACAGGGCTGACTCTACAACTGGGAGGAACGCACAGGAGCGGAATGTGTCAGTGGTGATATGCAACTTTTCCAGCAAGCTGGAATAAAATTAGCTTGTGAATAAGTTCTCCGAGATGGTTACAAACTTGAAAACATAAAGCATAAACAAAATACACCCAGGAGAAAATGGGAGATTTAGGTTCTGGAGATCTTTTCAGAAAGTAAAGCTTCCATCCCCCCTGTTAAAGGCTAATCCAGCCCCAGTTAAGCCCCCATCTCCAGGCCCAAGAAGGCTGTTCTCCAGCAGTCCCAGTGAGAACACGTTCCCTCCTCCCCAGCACATCTCACAGCTTCTAGAAAGAGGGGTTCCCTGCGCCCCAGCAAGGTCACAGCCTGCCCAACCTTTGATAAGAGACAGCACACGGGATGAGAACCCTCTTTCCATTCGGGAGGGCAGCAGGACGACAAGAGCCACACAACCTAAAAAAGCCCAGACAGTACCTCTCCTTCCCCGGCAACTTTCAGAGCAGCTGCGGCTCCCACTGGAAAACACATCCCAGCACCAACTTCCCGAACTCCGCCAAATCCCCACAAGCGGACGGACACTGGTCCCTCCCATCCAGCCCCGCTGATACGAGGCACCGAGATACCCCATCCCGCCCAGCAAC